AAATTCACACACATACACACCATGCCATGCCCAAAAGCCAAAAAAAAAAAAACAACAATTAGCAGGAAAAACCCCAGAGTACAACAAAATTAAAAATTCAGACATAATGGGTTGCAAGTCTATATGATGCAATGTTTTTCTGAACTCTGGTACTACCAGAATTACCATGTGACAGGGTGTCAGCTGTTGTTTCAGGAATCAACTATGTTTCCTCTGATCTTCAGATGGAAAGACAGATCTCAAGCTAAATGGCACTAGAGGAAGAAGCTGGCATTTTAAAAAAAAATCTTTGAGGTGTCTTTAATGCAATGGTGGGTAATTTTCAGGAACCAGTTTTCTGCCCCATGTGAAAATAGGACTTGTAGGAAAACAAAATAATACTAAGAAACGTGTAAGGCAGCGGGAAAAGGGATGGAACATAAGCTGGAATGACTTAATCAAGGAAGTGACGGTCTTGAGTTTACAAAGGCTGGAAACAACAGGGCCTTTTCGAGACCACTAATTCATAGGGTTGCCATACATCGGAAGTGACTTGATGGTATGGAAAAGCATAGCAGGGATCCTCTGGGAGTGATACCATGTTCAAACTACAACAAGCAAGCAAAGAAAAACCCACAACCAAGTTGCCATCAAACATTTACTTCTAGTTTTAAACAACTGACATTTGGGGATTAAAACAGTGCGGGGTGTGTGTGTGTTTCAACCTATTTAAAAGGTAACGTATTGCTCTTGGAAACTCCCAAAAGCAGCAATTTGTAATTTTTTGACTGGGATTTAAAAAAACAAAATCTTTTTTAATTTTTTTTTTTTATGGATAGTTCTGGGAGACAGGAGCTGCAAAAGCAGTATTTGGGGCATAATCAACTCCTAAGCTGCATTTTGCTCAACCCTGTTTTAAAGCCTGAGTAACCTTCTCCACTCATTCCCAGCTGGCACAAGGGCTTGTTTCTGTTGTCCTTGTTTCTGTCGCAACTCTTGCCTGCCTAACCTCTATGACATCACAAGGACCCGCCCCTTTTGGTCTCCCATTTTGGCCCTGAAATCTCAGAGTGAGAAGCAACTGACTTGGAAACTGCAATGTTACAGATGCATACAAAGTGTCTGCTTAAATGTTCTCCCTTTAAAATTATCTCCTTGCCTAAACAGAAATGCATACAAAGTGTCTGCTTAAATGTTCTTCCTTTAAAATTATCTCCTTTCCTAAACAGAAGTTGTTGTTTAGTCATTAAGTGATGTCCGACTCTTCGTGACCCTGTGGACCATAGTATGCCAGGCCCTCCTGTCTTCCACTGCCTCCCGTAGTTGGGTCAAATTCATGCTGGTCGCACTCATAACACTGTCCTGCCATCTCGTCCTCTGTCGTCCCCTTCTCATCTTGCCTTTACACTTTCCCAACATCAGGGTCTTTTCCAAGGAGTCTTCTCTTCTCATGAGATGGCCAAAGTATTGGAGCCTCAGCTTCAGGATCTGTCATTCCAGTGAGCACTCAGGGTTGATTTCCTTCAGAATGGATAGGTTTGTTCTCTTTGCAGTCCAGGGTACTCTCAAGAGTCCCCTCCAGCACCACAATTCCAATAAACAGAAGTAGCATGTTGAAATCTAAGGTTCTAGGTTACTACCTGGCTGCATTACTGTTGCTACACACAGCCATATCATACCCTCTTTATTTTCTTTCTGATGGGGTGCAGTCAAGAAAACATTGATTCACAGAATAAGACCATACATGGATAAGATCTTCTGCTGTGATGGCAGGTTGTGTGTATCCCACTCCATCCTGCCCTTTAAGCAGTTATGTAGCACAGGGCTTGGTGAAAGATTATTACTCACATTAAGGAAGAGAATTACCCCAGCTTCCATTTCAGTGCAGGGCGGATCATCTGAATATGGTCTACCTTGCAACACTGTTGTTTGCTTAAGAGAAACAATGTCCTGTATCTCACTGGCACCCAAAGCCCACAAAATGTTGGTGCTTATTTTTCTTTCTAACCTGCTCTCTCTTTGTCACACCTGCACTGAGAGGTGTTAAAAACAAAGGAAGGAAGCATAATAACTCAAATTTCACCTTCATACTTGGATGCAAACTGTATTTGACAAAATATCACTTGTTAACACCACGGTAGATTTAAATAGGACTGAGAATTATTGACAGAAAACCAGAAGCACAAGCAAATGCCACTCTCACAGTGCTGGAAAAAAAATCCTCCTTCACACTCAGTGTGCTAAAAAAAAGGCAGAAAGAACACCCACCTACCATTTAATGGCAATTCAGACTTTTCCTAGGACACCTTGATTTTCTACTTCGTCAATATTAAAAGTTTGGGTTTACTAATTTGTTTTGTATAAAACCTGAAATTTAGAGGCATAGTTTAGATACATAGACAGTGCCCTTAAAAACAGTTTTAGGGCTTGATTACACAGACGTTTGTCTCTGGTTTAAACCAACACCTCTAGACATCCTGATGAAGATTATTTTTTTTTACCTCTAGCAAGATTCCTTGTCTTGATTGTCTGTAATTTGTACAAAATACCCCTGTGCAAAATGTGTGTTCTTTTACTTCAAGGAGCAAAGTGTGTGTACGCACACAGCAAATACAGGATGCCTGGCTAATAGATTTTAAAAAATGCTCCAATGCTTCTAATTCTTAAAAGTCCCAGAACAAAGCAGCAGACACCATCATTTTGTTCAATTTGTGATAAAAAAAACAATATTTGCATTACAGCATTTTTCATGTGATTTTGCTTAAATTGGGTAAAAAAAAAATGATTCTCATTTTTGTATTCTCAAAGGTTTGCACGGCTGGGATCTGATGGTTATTGCAGATTTTTCAGGCTGTTTAGCCGTGTTCTGAAGGTTTTTCTTCCTAAGTCTCTGTGGCTTGCATCTTCAGGCGACAGGAATTAGAACTCTGTGTGTGGGATAGTTGAGTATTTGTAGCTGTGGTATCAGTTTTTTGTCCTTTTCAGGAGATTGGGTGATTATGGTAATCAGGATGTTTTTTGTTATGGGTGTATTGTCGTGATAAGGGAAGGGAAGATGATCTGCCACTGTGATTGATGGGTGTTGTTAGCTAGTTTTTTTGTGTGCAGTAATCATCGATCCTTGTGCTGGGCAGAGTTTGTTGACCTTTTGAAGGCTGTATTTTTCAGTGTTGGGAGGCAGGCTTTGTTGACACAGTGACAAATAATCTTTCCCTTTCAGTGTTGGGAGCCAGGCTTTGTTGACACAGTGACAAATCATCTTTCCCCCCTTATCATAACAATATACCCATAACAAAATACACACTGATCACCATAATCACCTAATCTCCTGAGAAGGACAAAAAAGCTGATCCCACAGCTACAAATACTCAAATATCCCACACACTACACCATGAAAGCTGATACCACAGCTACAAATACTCAAATATCCTACACACTACACATGTCCTCTGAAGATGCCGGCCACAGAGACTGGCAAATTGTTAGGAAGAAAAACCTTCAGAACACGGCCAAACAACCCAA